ATATCGTCGGCTACTTCTCGAAAGTATGTACTCTTTGTATGCTTTTTGATTTGTTGTCTGTGTTTTGATCTTCTAATTGATCCCATTATCCGCAGGAGAAACAGTCATTCCTATCGTATAACGTGTCCTGTATTTTAACACTACCTCCGTATCAAAGACAGGGCTACGGCCGGATGTTAATTGATTTCAGTGAGTGATTGTACCGCCGATGGTGTGATGATTGTCTCGTTTAACTGATTCGTGTCTTTGTCTGTTTGCAGGTTATCTGTTGACCAAAACGGAGGGCAAAGTGGGCTCACCGGAGAAGCCGTTGTCTGATTTGGGACTCATATCGTACAGGAGTTACTGGAAGAAAGTGATACTCGAGTACCTGTCCTCCTACGAGGCCAAAGATATATCCATTAAAAGTGAGTTGTTTTTGATTTGATCCCAAAAGTGATAGTTTTTAATCCGATGTTTGTTTCACACCAGACGTTAGCTCACAGACCGGTATCAACGCCTACGACATCGTGTCGACCCTCCAGTCGATGGGAATGTTAAAGTACTGGAAGGGTAAGCATCTGGTGCTCACCCAGAAGGAGATACTCGACGAGTTCCGGGCGAAGCTCAAGAAGCATCGCAAGAATCCCAAACTAATTGATCCCAAATGTCTGCACTGGAAGCCGAAGGTCAAGTGATTTGACCGCTTTGTTTTTATATGCCACTGTTTTCGCGGTGTATCTGTTTTGTTGGCCACTCTATTAGCATGTATTGAGAAACTCTTGGCCCCGAAAAATGTATACTTTTATTCTCATTATTATTATTATCGTTGATATTAACCATCGATTCGCTCGAAACTGTGGCTAAAATATGATTAAGACATTAATTGATTGATAAATATATTATGTTTAATATAAATAGCGTTTAAATCACGTCGAGTTTAGATACCATTTGTTGTAAAAGTCATTCATGTTTTTTCTCTCGTAAATTTTCATTCATTCAAATTGTCATCGCATTTACGATTCCTGGCCCCTCCCTGTCCTCCACGGGGGCCCCCTCTCTCCTGCCAGCCCTTCCACACCTCTCAACCATAATGAAACACATGTATCGATATTTTTCCTATACATTTACATCGAGTGTTAAGTGTTTCTCTCATTTGATTAATGTTTTTACAAATTAAATATTTTTTAAAAATTTTTTTTTAAATTAATTGTTTGATTGATTGATTGAATCGTTGTTTTGATTATTGAAAAACCAAACCATTAAATAGATTTAAAAAGTATTTAACAATAAAAATCGTTTTTTCAACATTTAATCGCAAATTGTGTTTTAATTATAAGTTTTATTTAATTATTTATTTAACAGTAATAATACTTTCGTTGAAAAGCATACAAATGACAATAATATGGCATAAGTTTCAATTAATTATGAAATGTTTATCAAAATATTTATCAAATTGTTTGCTATTATATGAGTTAAATAGTAATTAAACTAAACATTTACTCCACTTTTCTTACAATAAAACTTCTGAACATAATTTCCGCGGATTTTAATGTTCTTTAGTTTAGGACTTCTCGACAACAGATCATAGAAATCATTATCCAAGAGATCAATGCTATGACGGCATCGGATGTCTAGTGTCTGCAGCGCCGGTAGTCTAGAGATATGACCCAAACATTCGCCAGTGATTGCATCGGATGTGATGGTTATCGTTAGGTATTGAAGTCTTGGCCAATGGTTACCGCAATTATCCAGTAATTTATCACTCATTTGCATTGTATTAAGTGTTAAATGCGTTAATCGGTGGCAGAGTTTTAACGGTTCCAACAGTTTCTCGTCAATATTTTTAAGTATTAATAAATCCAATCGTTTTAATCGGGAATAAACTCTCAACGAATCCATTGTATTGCCATAGAGTTGGGGATCAGTTGAGTGCAATGCGAGTGACAATCGGCGCAATTGTTTGCAGTTTAAGCCAATTGTACGCAAACACGCGTTCAATGAGTTCTGACCACTCGTTAGTATGAAATGTACCGACAATTCCCGTAATTGCGTTAATCGCGACAATTGTCCGCACATTTCGGTCAGCGTTTCGTTAGTATCTGTTTCACTAGTTCTTAGGCAAAGACTTTTAAGCGACTGATTGTTTGCCACAAATGCGGACAATTGTTGGCTATTATAACGTGAATCACAAACATATGAAAATTTGCGTAAATTCTTCACTAATAACTGCCCGGAAGTGTTGTCGAAGGCGTCGGACAACTTGAAGGCATGTAATTCAGACAATCGGTGGAACTGAATGAGTGATTGTATTTTCGGTGAATACATGCAATCGATTCGTGTGATTAGTGGTCCGAACGATGGGAACAATTGATACGAAAACAAATTGCAATAAATGTCCCGTAAATGCCGGCAATTGTCGCGAAATGTGTTCAACACTTCATGAATGTGTTTGTCAGACAATTCCATTCCTCGGCAGTCAATGGTTGCAATGTTTGCACACTTTTTGGCAATTATTTGCAGCGAAATATGGCTTAAAGTGAGGCTATTATAAAAGTTTTTTATCCTTTGCTTTCCCTGTGTTTTACCAATGAGTTTGTCGTCGAGAGTGATGTCGACAACACTTTTGAAGACAGTCCTCCGGAACTGTTGGGACACACATTCGGTGGCAAAACGGTCTTCGAGTGTCAGATAGGATAACAAGAGTTGACACAAATCATCACCGAATCTGTCCATTGAGTCCTTCGCATAGATTTGTGGCTAAAATGTGAGACAAAAACTCAATTAACACTTAATTGTTGTGAAATTATTACTGAAATACCTGTTGTTTGTTGTCTTCATAGCTGTCATCTGCGGTAACATCTGATCTCTTCACGTGTTCTTCTGATTTCCTGATCTTTTCTGCCATTTCTTGGGATCAAATGCAATGACTGTTTGAATGAATTATATTTGTGGACACAAAACATGTGCTAAATATTGAGCATTAATATTGAGTCAAAACTTTTGAACTTTTGAATCAAAAGCCATACAAAACACAAAGTGTTGACAACAAGACTCACATCTATTGACACATATTTTTTATAACAGTTTTGTAAAACTTTTGGTCTGACTTTCAATGAGTGTTAAATAGATTTAAAAAGTATTTAACAATTAAAATCGTTTTTTCAACACTTAATCACAAATTGTGTTTTAATTATAATTTTATTGAATTAAACACTAATTAAATCGTCAATTAATTCACAGCTAATTATGCATCAAAATATATAAACTGTATTACAATTAACAATCAAATATATTAACACTAAATTTGAGCCAATCAACGGCCAGTAATCAATCGGGTGTCCACACCATCGCGGTACAGGTAATTTGACATAAGTTACAATTAAATTAATTATGAAATGTTTAACACATTTGATCAAATTGTTTGTTAGTATAATAATTAAATTCTAATTAAACTAAACATTTACTACACTTTTCTTTGAATAAAACTTATAAACATTTTTTCTACGAATTTTAATGTTTTTAAGTTTAGGACTTCTGGACAACAGATCATAGAAATGATTATCCGAGAGATAAATGTTATGACGGCTTCGAATGTCTAGTGTCTGCAGCGCCGGTAGTCTTGAGATATGACTCAAACACTCGCCAGTGATTGCATTGGATCTGATCTTTAGGTACTGAAGTCGTGGCCAATGGTTATCGCAATTTTCCAGTAATTGATCACTCATTTGCCACAAAGTGTTTCCAACTTCTAAATGCGTTAATCGTTTGCAGAGTTTTAACGGTTCCAACAGTTTCTCGTCCATAGGTTTGAATATTAATAAATCCAATCGTTTTAATCGGGAAAAAACTCTCAACGAATCCATTGTATTGCCATAGAGTTGGGGATCGTTTGAACGCAACGCGAGTGACAATCGGCGCAATTGTTTGCAGTTTAAGCCAATTCTACGCAAACACGCGTTCAATGAGTTCTGACCACTCGTTAGCATGAAATGTACCGACAATTCCCGTAATTGCGTTAATCGTGACAATTGTCCGCACATTTCGGTCAGCGTTTCGTTAGTATCTGTTCCACTAGTTCTTAGGCCAAGACTTTTAAGCGACTGATTGTGTGCCACAAATGCGGACAACTGTTGGTTACTATCATTTGAAGCCCAAGAATATGAAAATTTGCGTAAATTCTTCGCCAATAACTGTCCCGAAGTGTTGTCGAAGACGTACGACAACTCGATGGCATATAATTCAGACAATCGGTTGCAGTGAATGAGTAATTGTTTCTTCGATGAGTCCATACAATAGATTCGTTTGATTAGTGGTCCGAACGATGGGAACGATTGAGACGAAGACGAAACGCAGTAAATGTCCCGTAAATGCCGGCAATTGTCTCGAAATGTGTTCAACACTTCGGGAATGTGTTTGTCAGACGATGCCATTCCTCGGCAATCAATGGTCGCAATGTTTGCACACTTTTTGGCAATTATTTGCAGCGAAATATGGCTTAAAGTAATGATATTATTAAAGTCTTTTATCGATGCCTTTCCCTGTGTTTTGCAGATGAGTTTGTCGTCAAGAGTGATGTCCACAACACTCTCGAAGACAGTCCTCCGGAACTGTTTAGACACACATTCGGTGGCAAAACGGTCTTCGAGTGTCAGATAGGATAACAAGAGTTGACACAAATCATCACCGAATCTGTCCATTGAGTCCTTCGCATACATTTGTGGCTAAAATGTGAGACAAAAACATTAAACACTTAATTGTTGTGAAATTATTACTAAAATACCTTTTGTTTGTTGTCTTCATAGCTGTCATCTGCGGTAACCTCCGATCTCTTCGTGTGTTCTTCTGATTTCATGATCTTTTGTGCCATATCTTGGGATCAAATGCAATGACTGTTTGAATGAATTATATTTTTGGACACAAAACATGTGATAATATTGAGTCAATCAAAACTTTTGAACTTTTGAATCAAAATCATTATAAAACATAAAGTGTTGACAACAAGACTCACATCTATTGACACATATTTTGTATAAAGTTTTGTAAAACTTTTGGCCTGACTTTCAATGAGTGTTAAATAAATTTAAAAAGTATTAAACAATTAAAATCGTTTTTTCAACACTTAATCACAAATTGTGTTTTAATTATAATTTTATTGAATTAAACACTAATTAAATCGTCAATTAATTCAAAGCTAATTATTCATCAAAATAGATATAAACAGTATTACAATTAAAAATCAAATATATTAACACTAAATATGAGCCAATGAGCGGCCAGTAGTGAGTCGGGTGTCCACCAGCGCGGCACAGGTCACACGTCCAGCCCTACGACACGGGCCCCTACAGGTGAACGGCCGGGTCTTTCTGTAAGCGATTGGTTCGCATAACTAACTTAATCTTTCGGTCCATATCTTCATTATAGACGGCTTTACACAACTCCCAGTTCACGCGGCGGCGGGTATTGAAGGGCTTTTCGTAGGTACGGGTGCGGCGGTAGATGTCAAACAAGCCCTCGGAGCCCATTATGCGGTTCAACACACGCATCGCTCCGTCCACATCACCCGCGCGGACCAGTACTGTGCGGCCGATGAACTTCTCGGTCAACCCGGACGTGATTCGCAACGCTTGGGTGATAAACATATCGGACAACTCTTGAGGTATCTCTTGAGGTGTCTTAAGGTGTGATCTCTTGATGTCTCTCTTGAGATGGCTTTTGATGGCACTCTTGCGGTCACTCTTGTGGTCACTCTGCCGTGTCTTAAATTCTCTGGCGGTCACCGAAAGGTTCTGGAGGTCACTGGAAGTGTCTGGAGATCGATGTTGAGGTGAGACTCGGGTTGCGGTCACCGAAAAAGCACGTGTTTTTTGCGGTAAGTTTTTTTTCCAGTTGTTGTTGTTTTGGGTGTGAATTGAGTGTCACGTGGTTTGTGACGGGGTTTGTGTGTTAATGCAGTGGCCGTTCAGTTAGTACGACCGTTAATAACGTACGCCCTTTTGTTAGGGGGTAGAGGTTTATATAGAGTTTTTATTTAAATTTAGTTTTAGTTAGTTTTTAATTACAGCTAATAGACAGTAGTGTTAAAAATTTATTAAGCTATTTAATTTCGCTACATTGATATTGTATTGCATAGTTATTGTGTTTAACATTTGGTTAAAATTGAGAAAACATGGTAAAAATTACTATAAAAACTACTTTACATTGTAAAATGTAATAAAAAACTTTAATTAGCATCAGATCTAATCCAGTTATTATTGAAGGGCTGCCAGTTTGGGCTCCCGGCGGCTCCGGTGGGCGAACAGGTAGTCGTACAGCTCGAGTGGCAAGTGTTGGGCCACAGATAGGGCTAATTGAATGAACCACTTGCCGGCCGGCGCGTACCTGATCCGGGGCTCACAGCTCCGGATGGCGTCTACCATCGGGTCCAACACTTCGTTGATGTCGGCGCCGCTCGACCAATGACTGCCAAACCGGTCCTTACGAGCCATGAAGTAGTCGTAGTATTGTTGGCCGTATAGTTCGCGGACAGCGTCGGGACTTTCCCGCCACTGGCGCTCAATCTCTTGGCCGATATAGTCCGCGCCGGCCATCGGTGTCCGATAGATGATCGGCTCAATTGTGGACACTTTTACACCCCATTTACGACACTCCCGGCGCAGACCGTCCGAGAAGGCAATGGCCGCGTGTTTGCTCATTGAGTATTGACATAGGTTTTCGGCGGTCAGGCGACCCGCCATTGAGACCAAGTTTACAATACGTCCTGTTTGTGGAGAGAGAGAGAGAGAGAACTCTCTCTCTCTCTCTCTCTCTCAACAATAGGACGTATTGTAAACTTGGTGTCAATCGCGGGTCGAAATACACTTGAAAACGTGTGCCAATACTCAATGAGCAAACACGCGGCCATCGCCTTCTCGGATGGTCTGCGCCGGGAGTGCCGTAAATGGGGTGTAAAGGTGTCCACAATCGAGCCGTCCATCTATCGGACACCGATGGCCGGCGCGGACTATATCGGCCCAGAGATTGAGCGCCAGTGGCGGGAGAGCACGGATGCTGTCCGACAGGCATACGGCCAACAATACTACGATTATTTCATAACCTATAGGGAGAGGTTCGGCAACTCGTGGATCGGCGGCTCCGATATCAACGAAGTGTTGGACCCGATTGTAGACGCCATCAGGAGTACTGAGCCCCAGACCCGGTACGCGCCGGCGAGTAAATGGTACGTCAAATTGAGCATGCTCATGCCCCAACACCTGCCCAGCGAGTTGACTGACTACCTGTTTGCAACCGAGAGTCGCCGGGAGCCAAAAGTGGCCGGTCTTCAGCTGCCATCGCACGTGACTCCTGAAGAATAATGGATTATCACAATTATTTTAGTGATATATTAGTATAAAGTTTTATTTAAACAATTTTAGTTAATTAGTTAATAAATAGGAAAAGTTTTATTTAATTTTAATTTATAATTAATATAACAAAATTGTAAAACAAAATAAAATTAACAATATAAATATTTTTACAAACTAATTATATAATAGACTTTGATTTACTAAAAATATATTTCTACAAAGTTTATTTTAATCAACCAATTAAACACATTGATTAAGCACAAGTTTATATTAATAAATAACATGATAAGTTAATTTATTTCTATACACTATCTATCAGTTAATAGTTTATCCATTAATATTTGCATTTAAAATACCTCTACTTTTACCATCATATCAAACCTATAAATACACTTTAAATAACGGATTAACACAAAATATTTCACACATTCATTGGCTATCATTGAGTCTCACTATCACTATCGAGACATTTCTTGACAAACACTTTAAGCAAAATGTCATTTTTAAGGCTATTTTCGTTCAACAATTTCCTAATCCAATACATCATAGCGTTTACAACGCTATTAATCGCCGTAAACATCAGCCAATGTTTGGAGGGCCTAATCTCTGCCATCGGCCGGTGGGCTGTAGTGGCCATTATTGCCTGGTTTGGGGCCAAACACTGGCGCAGACACCGTAACAACCGGCGCCTCACATCGTATAAACGGGCAGTTTTAGTAACAGGTAATTACCAACATTACAAACCTGTTCAAATCATCAATATTATATTATTTTTGTTTTAAATAGGCTGCGACAGCGGTTTTGGTAACGCCCTGGCCATGAAACTTAACGAACACGGCTTCCGAGTGTACGCCACTGTGTTGGACACAGAGGGCGAGGGGGCGCGCAATCTGTTGACCCGACAAAGGTTTGACGGCCAGACCCGTGTCCTACGTATGGATGTGACCAGCGATCAGGAGGTGAACAGAGCGTATGATACAGTGGCCAAAGAGTTGGTGGACAACGGGGAACAGCTGTGGGCAGTGGTCAACAACGCCGGTATACTAACACTCGGACCCCTCGATTGGGGAACAGTAGACACCTATAAGCGGATCCATGAGGTGAACACGTTTGGTATGGTTCGGGTGACCAGAGTTTTTCTGCCACTTATTAGACAATCAAAAGGTTTGTGTGTTTGGCTCAAGACAAACGCTGTTTCACTGATATTCAGTATTTAATGTACTCTCTCTCTCTCTCT